AGGTAATGGCAGTCCAATGCTCCACAAAGTGACTCGTAACTGGTGCAGGCCAGTGAGTGAGTCAGAGAGTGTGTGTGTGTGTGTGTGTGTGTGTGTGTGTGTGTGTGTGTGACAGAGTTCAGTGAGACCATGGAGGAGAAGAGGGGAGAGGGGGCAGAATCGGGAGGGAGTTAAGCTTCCTGACAGCCTGATGGATGAAGCTGTCCTTCAGTCTGCTGGTCCTGGCCTGGAGACTCCGCAGTCTCCTCCCTGACGGCAGCAGCTTGAAGAAGCTTTGCATTGGGTGCGTGGGATCAGCCGCTATGCAAAGGGCTTTTTTAGTGAGACGGGTGCTGTAAATGTCCTGGAGGGAGGGGAGAGAGACACCAATGATCCTCTCTGCAGCTCTCACTATGCGTTGGAGGGTTCTATGACAGGACGCATTGCAGGCTCCAAACCACACAGTGATGCAGCTCGACAGGATGCTCTCGATGGTGCCTCTGTAGAAAGTGTACATGGGCTGGTGCTCCTGCTCTTCTTAGTTTGCGGAGAAAGAAGAGACGCTGCTGTGATTTCTTGGCCAGTGCTGTGGTGTTGTACGTCCAGGAGAGATCCTCTGTGATGTGCACACCCAAGAACTTGGTGCTGCTCACTCTCTCCACAGACGCTCCGTCAATGGTCAGAGGAGCATGTTGGGTGTGCATTCTCCTGAAGTCCACAACAATCTCCTTCGTCTTCTCCACATTCAGAGAGAGATTGTTGTCAACACACCACGTGGCCAGGCGTCTCACCTCACTTCTGTAGTCGGTCTCATCCCTGTTGCTAATGAGACCCACCACCGTTGTCGTCCACAAACTTGATGAAGAGGTTGGAGCTATATGATGGAGTGCAGTCATGGGTCAGCAGAGTGAAGAGGAGGGGGCTCAGCACACATCCCTGCGGGGCCCCCGTGTTTAAAATGATGGTGCTGGATGTATACTGCCGACCCGTACTGCTTGAGGTCTTCCGGTGAGGAAATCCAACAGCCAGTTGCACAGTGAGGTGTTGAGCCCCAGCTGGACCAGTTTTTGAGTGAGCTGTTGGGGGATTATAGTGTTGAATGCTGAACTGAAATCTATGAACAGCATTCGAACATATGAGTCATTTTTGTCCAGGTGTGTGAGTGCTGAGTGGAGTGCAGTGGAGATGGCATCATCGGTTGAGCCGATACGCAAACTGGAAGGGATCCAGGGAGGGGGGCAGGACAGTCTTGATGTGTTTCATGACTAGTCGTTCGAAGCACTTCATCAGGATGGGAGTAAGTGCAACAGGACGGTAGTCATTAAAGCAGGAGGGAGATGACTTTTTTGGAACCGGAATGATTGTGGTGGCTTTAAAACATGTGGGGACGACAGCCTGGATGAGTGATATGTTGAAGATGTCTGTGAAGACATCAGTGAGTTCCACTGCACAGTCTCTCAGTACACGACCAGGAATGTTGTCAGGACCCGGAGCTTTACGTGCATTGATCCTGCTGAGGGATCTCCTCACGCTGTCCGGGGACAGAGTCATCACCTGGTCACCAGGAGGGGGTGGGGTCTTCTGTGCAGTGGTGCTGTTTTGGACTTCAAAGCGAGCAAAGAAAGTATTCAGCTCGTTCAGCAGGGGGATAGTGCTATCACAGGTCTGTGGTGGGGGCTTGTAATCTGTGATGGTCTGAATGCCCCGCCACAGGCTCCGTGAGTCTCTGCTGTCTTTGAAGTGATGAGATATTTTCCTGGAGTACTGTCTCTTAGCCTCTCTGATGCCACGGGAAAGGTTGGCCCTAGCTGTCCTCAGGCTCGCCTCGTCACCATCTCTGAAGGCAACATTCCGAGCTTTCAGCAGCCTGTAGACCTCTCCTGTCATCCATGGTTTTTGATTTGCCCGTACAGTTATGGTTTTCGTGACTGTTACATCCTCAATACACTTGTTGATGTAGGCAGTAACAGTCTCTGCGTACTCCTGGAGGTCAGTGGTGTTGTTATAGGTGGCAGCCTGCTTAAACATGTTCCAGTCTGTGGTGTTAAAGCAGTCCTGTAAAGCCTCCGAAGACCCTTCTGGCCACACTTGTATCCGCTTACGAACCGGTTTGGTGGTTTTAACGAGCGGTCTGTAAGCAGGCATTAGCATGACAGTGATATGGTCTGAGGCGCCGAGGTGGGGGAGGGGAAAAGCTTTGTAGGCTCCTCTCTGAATTGAATTGAACATTCGGTCTTTTTATTTACATAGTTCCAAATCACAACAGCAATTGCTTCAAGGGGCTTCAATATGTTCATATGACGAGACACACACATCTTTTTTATGAAGAAATAAGTTTGCATTTATTGGACAAACCAAACATAAGCAAACTCACACATAGTGTAAAGATGGACCATGTCATGGGGTGACAAATGAAGGGTTTCATTCCAAAATGCTGTACAACCATTAGGAGGAAAAAACAAAAAAAACAAAAAAAACAAAAAAAAAAACCCAGTATTTTAAAGAGCACATCATTCATTCAGAAATCTTATTACTTTAGTCACAACAACCCCCTAATGAAGCTGTATTTATTTCATGGAGATGACATTATTCCCACATGCTGTACATTTCATTTTGGAACAAAGCTCTTCAAATATATCTTTTTATTTTTACACTTTTTACATTCTTTTCTTGCTGTACATTTTAAGTCTCATGCTTTGCTTGAAACTGTGGTGTCAGCATTTATCCTCAATCACATGACGAGAGACAATAAAAAGAAGAGCATACAGTATTCAGGATCAATGCTGCATAGTTTCAACTTTGGAATAACACAATTACCTTTTTGTAAACTGTGTGTATATGTGATGGAAAACCATATTAAAGCTGTCAAAAGAATACATGCGATGTATCTTGGAAGCTTCACTTCTTTGAAAAATTTCAGTATTGGGAGACGATGCATGTCATCACGAGTCCATCAAGAGCAGCTGAAATAAACAAAGGTGGAGCAGTTCATACCATCGCAGAGTTTCTTAAGAAGCTCTGGCAGTAAACCACAGCATGATGGATAACAGGAAATGGATGACAAATATCAACAGATGTAACTCGAAAGAAAACAACAACTAAAACAAGCAAACAAACAAAAAAACCTGCATGAGTTTTTAGCAAAGTCTGGGCACAAAACATGCAAAGAAAACAACAAAATGGAAGCAATAAATAAAGTAAAAGTCCTGGGAATGTTAACAAAACTCCACTGAGAGTGACACCAAAGCAAACAACCAAGTCACTGCAATCTTTTAAACAGAATTTAAAGATGATACAGATCCACCTATAACAAAAGGCTAGGACAACATTCTTAACCTGACCGAGCTAGCCAACAGATTACAGTAAGAACACTTGAAATGGTTCACGAGGACAGCTGCACATCATTCCCTTGTAGTAAACCTCCGTTAAGGCAATCGGAAAACAGGAAGAGAATTTAGCACTGGAATCACACATAGCTTTTATGTGGGAGAAAAAAAAAAAAAAAAACATGGACTGTGAGGGTCATGGACGCCTCAAAGCAGATTCGTATGTAATTCAAATGTATTGAGATTTAACCCTGCGGAAACTTTGCGTTCCTGTTTGGTGGTGATGTCTTGATAACATCAGTCACTTGCAAATACTTTTCTGGATGTTTCCAGTTAGTGGGATGTTTCAAATCAGTATGCAGAAGTGGCAGTGAGGCTTCAGACTGCTTTAAATGCTCCATTTCAGACATTTTTTCTACTCTTTGTCCGATATCATGTCCAAAAAAAAATAGCCACAGCTCTGGCCCTGCTTGACCTTCTGTCCGTATGAGATCACTAAGGAGAAGATGTACACTGTGTACAAGATTTACAAGTCTAAAGAGCCAGTCAACAGTTGAAATGAGAAACACTTTAGCCAATCATGTTGTTGCACTGACACATGCACACAGTAGAGATTAGTAACAGCTTCCTTTGCTATGCTGTAGGCGTGAGTAGTAGCAGAGTCGCGGCTCTCTCCCCAGTCTCAAAGCGGTTTTTAAATAAGCCCCCAGATCCGATTCAAGATGGCTGCTGAATTGAGAGATTTGCTTATTGAAGGCCTTTGTTAACAGCTCCTTCTAAAATACATACAGCTAAGAACACAGATTAGAAGGTGTCCTGCTTTCAAAATAACCATCAACTTACTCCTGCTGTTCAGGGAGAAGGAGCTAAAGCCGCTGTTAAAGGAAGCTCCAGAAAACAGTCGCTGCTGTTCTTACTCTCACAGAAGAAAAATCTGGAAGCAAGACGGCACCAGAAACCTACCAAACAGATCCCACTGAGATGATCTTGCTTAATAACAATTTAATAATAACACAAGCACAAAGAGCCTAATGTTGAGTTAAACACAGAAGGCCATGAGAAAGAAAAATATCCAGTTTCAGATTCAGCCAACTTTGCAAGGATGATGAACTTTAGGAGTGTGAAAAAACAGGAAGGCCTTCTTAAATCATCTAAATTCTCCTCCAGTGTTCATATTTAGACACAAGACTAAAATTACCATTAACCATTAAGCTCAAGAAACAAAGAGAAAGAACACAATGGATTCTTTAAGAAGTCACTTCTCACTCTGAGCATGCTCTCAGTTATTACACCAACCACACCAACATTCAGACTAAATGGTTAAGCTTTATTTACAGCAGCTGGTTCGTGGAGTGGATGATGTCAAATAAAACCTTACTCCAACATATTTAAATGCGTCAGAGTACAAAGAGCTGAGCTGCGGCCACCTTGATCATCGTATTTCTGTTACCACTCACTACAGTACATGTGGGTGTCCCAGCCTGTTCTTAGTGGTTGGAACGGAAGTGACAGCACAGGCGCAGATGGGAAAAACAAACGTAACAAACGTAATATACAGGTCAAACATAGCAGAGTCCTGGCTTATTTTACCTGGGTGCTGTTAGCCTTGTATACAGTGTATGGCTTGGATATGCTGCTTTATGCACATACAAACCACCAACAACCCTGTGCCCTGGCACCCTTCTGCAGGAGCTCTTATAGCTCTTCATAATCGCCATCATCTCTTTTGATTGATGCTGCCCCACCGCCCAGAAAGTCCTCCAGCTCATCCACTTCGGTTTTCTTGGTCCTGGATTTTTTTTTCTTTTTCTCCTTCTCATCGGGCACTGCAGCTTCATCCTTTTCCCTTTTCTTGTGTTTGTGTTTCTTCTTGCTCTTTTCATCCTCCTGTAAGTGACGGCACACAGTTTACTGTAGGACTCGCCGGCAGAACCTCAGAGGCTGTTCACGACATAAAAAGCTGAACTTTTCTATTTCTGTTCACGTTCATAGCAAAACAACAGAATCCTTTTAATAAAGGAAAAAAAACCCTGCGGTTTGCAGACTTGCAGTTAAAGACTTAAATCAAGTTTGAAGTCTGAAGCGTCTGACCCCTCACTGGTGAGTGTGTTAGATAAGAATGTCCACTCATTATGTCTTTGAATTTTCATTCAAATCTTTACAAATAATCATTTAACATTTTACATACACCTTTGTAGCAGCAATGTCTCCAAACTATCCTCTTGCTCACCGACCGTCACCACAGCTCAGTACCAGGCATTCAATTTCTAATACCGGTAGATACTATACACTCGATGGTCAATGAGAAAAACTGTTTTATTTCTCTTCTTTAGACACAAAGTCCTTACAGTATGTAATATCAACAAAAAGTTTACCTCTTTGCTCTTCTTCTTCTTTTTCTTCTTTTCCTTGGAGGAGTGCTTGCTTTCTTTCTCTGAAAGAGGAGCACATGCATACAGCACTCTCACAAGTGGTGAACATCTGATGGAGTCATTTTAAATACGTTTTATGTTAAAGTTCAGTTTCTTAACAAAACCAGCAGAACAGACCATTTCAAAAAAGGACAATTGTTTTAACCACTTAATAACATGAAACAATTACATCCTTGCTTCTAAATTGAGATAAAATTGACGTTACTGTAATCAGCCCTAAAAATCTTAGAATATGGTGTCTAGACCAATACTCTGGATGGCATTACCCTGGTCTCAGTTAACACTGAGTAATGGAGTTGTTTTTGACCAAGATATTTCCTTCAATATACATATTAAATAAATACGTGAGGCTGTCTTACTTTGTAAAATTAAAAAACCTGCTGTCTCAGAGTGACTCTGAAAAACTAGTTCATGCATTTATTACTTCTAGGCTGGATTATTGTAATTATTCATTATCAGGATGTCCTAAAAACTCCCTGAAAATCCTTCGGTTGATCCAAAATGCTGAAGCAAGAGTACTGACAGAAACTAGAAAGAGCATATTTCTCCCATACTGGCTTCTTTTGATTGGCTCCCTTAAATCCAGAATGAAATTTTAAAATCCTTCTCATCACGTACAACGTTTCGCATAATTAGGCCACCCCATCAGAGCACTTTGCTCTCAGACAGCTGGGTTAGTTGTTGTTCCTAGAGTATTTAAAAGTAGAATTGGGAGGCAGAGCCCTCGGTTTTCAGGCCCCTCTTCTATGAAACCAGCTTCCAGTTTGGATTTGAGAGACAGACACTATCTCTACTTTTAAGATTAAACTTAAAACTTTCCTTTTTGCTAAAGCATGTACCCTGAATCCTCCTTTAGTTATACTGCAATAGGTGTAGGCTGCTGGGGGATTCCCATGATGCATTAAGTATTTCTTCTTCAGTTACCTTTCTCCCTCAGTATGTGCTTACACACCTCTCTGCATTTAACAATTAGTTAATATTAAACTCTGGGTCTCTTCCATGATGCATCTTTTGTCTGACTGTTGGGGTTTTCTCTCTGTTATTGTGGGGTCTTTACATAACAATATCAAGCACCTTGAAGTCACTGTGCAATATCAATTGAATCTAAAGGGTTCTGTTGACCTAATCTGCCTGCTCATCAGCTAATCAAATGTGGAGTTACATTGACAAGTATTTAAGGACTTGCCTTCCTGATCCTCGCTGCTTTCCTTGGCTGCAGGAGGCTCTTCTTGGATCCCGAGACCAAACAGGTCAGTGTCGTCCTTGGGTTTGAAGGTGATCACAGTGGGTTTTAGGGGTTCTGGCACCTTGGCTAACTGCATGTCATCATCAGAGAGGTCAGACAGAAGCTCATCCCTGACTGGAAATGTATCCTGCATTCAAAAGGGATGCAAATGTATATTCATTAAAGAAGCAGAACAGAAAAGTTTTAATTGACTTTTCATCTATTTAATTTCTGTTGCAGATTTTGCTTTCCAGATCTGTGACCTGAACTGGCCTCATATAGTGGAAGTATCTTTGTTTACCTTTGCAATTTTAGGTGTGTCTGATGCTTCAGAGTCAAAGTCAGGGTCATCCATCACAAACGAGAGCATTTGCTGAGCCACAGGAGCCTCAGGGTCTGTGTCAGAGTCCTCCACTTTGGGCGTGCTTCCCTTCTTCTTGCCTTGGTGTCGGGCTGGCTGCTCTACTGCGGGAGTTAAAGTGAGGGAGATGGGTGGTGTGGTTTGGCCCTGGGGATCCGGAGCTTTAGATGTCACCTTTGGTTTTGTGATTATAGGCCTGATTCAAGGAACACGTAAAAAAACAAAACAAAAAACATATCAGATCACAATGGGGGAAAGGGGGGGGGGATAGGCTGCATATCTACACTGATATGTACTGGGTCATGCGTTAGGGATGCCACATCGTTTACACATCAACCTACAGTGACACCTCAAAACTCAAAGTGAAGAAGTGATGCAGCAGGATAATCCATTTTGTCAAAATTTCATTGCAAAAATGGTACTCAGTGGTTTGTATGGCTGTATGTTTGTATGTGCTTGTATGTATGTGTGACAACGTCGGGGCATGCTCCTAATGAGATGACAGCTGATGTCTCAGGACCCACTGCACCAGTGTAGGGTCTGACAGTGGGCCCGGGAATTTCAACGTGATACCTAGCGTCACTCAGGGTGCTGCTGGCTAGCCCTATAGCGGTCTGTGTGTCCCTCCATTGATATGTCCCTCTCTGACACTACCAAACCAGTCAAGTTTAACGATGTTACAGACAGAATAACGTTCTCCATGGCTTCTTCAGACTGTTTCACATCTGTCACATGTGCTCAGGGTGAACCTGCTCTTGTCTCTGAAAAGCACAGGGTGCTAGTGGTGCCAATTCTGGTATTCTATGGCAAATGCCAATCGAGCTACATGGTGTTGGGCAGTGAACACAGGACCCTACTAAAGGATGTTGAGACCTCAGGCCACCCTCATGAAGTCTGTTTCTGATGATTTGTTCAGAGACACTGACATCAGTGGCCTGCTGGAGGTCATTTTGTAGCTCTGGCAGAGCTCACCCTGTTCCTTCTGGGACAAAAGAGCAAATACTAGACCTGCCGATGGGTGAAGGACCTTTTGTGACTCTGTCCAGCTCTCACAGAGTAACTGCCTGTCTCCTGTATTCTCCGCTATGTTCCTGAAACTATGCTGGGAGGCACAGCAAACCTTATTGCAAGTGTGCGTATTGATGTGCCATTCCGCAGGAGTTGGACTACCAGTGCAACCTATGCGGGGTCCTGATATAACCCCATGCTACCAGTAGTGACACTGGCCCTAATCAAATGCATACAACTAGAGAAAAACAGTCAGAAAAGATCAGGAGGCAGAAAATACCAGTGGCCTCCACCTGTAAAACTATTCCTGCTTTGTTGTCGCATTGTTGCCCTTCTAGGTCACCTCTTGTTAAGTGAACTGATTAACAACCTCCTGTGCTACTTAACTGATAAGATCAATATCCCCGAGGTTTCACTGACTTAATGCTAAACTCAGATTAAAAAGTGTTTCTTTAATTTTTTGAGCAGTATATCACTTGTGTCACTAATGAAATTTCTTGACTTACGCTTTGAGCTCAGGTTTACTTTCCAGGTCTTGATCCTGTGAGATTACAAGCGCTGTTGGTATTCCCTCCTCCTCGTCACTGCTCAGAGTGATATCTTTAATGGGGGGGAGGGCCTTAGAGTTGGAAAGGCTTGGCTCAGTATCATCAGGGTCAAGCTCATCCTGGAAACTGGACACCATGGGGTTTCCTCTATCCTCACCATCACTGGGTTGAAGCAAGAACACGAAAAGTTGGTTCAAAGAGGCTTGAAGAGGTGACCGAAAGCAGACACTTAGTGACTAACAATGTAGTAAAACATTTAAAAATTTAATTAAACCTCTTCTAAATGTTGAATAAAGAAGGTAAAATGTAAAACATTGACAAAGAGTATTTTCTAAAAGTAAAAACAGGCCAAGTCAGAAGTATTTGTGAAAATTTTCACCTGTCACTGTCCACAGTGGGAGCTGCTGCAGGTCGGGGCACCTTGGTCTTGGAGGGCAGGCTGTCCTCCAAGAAACTCTTGTCCAGTCTCTCATCTGGCACAAAATCATCCACACTCTGCACCTTAGCAGGACACACTGGTACAGGAGGCTCCTCTGAGGAAAACATTGAGACAATTTTTGACTGAGAGCAAAATGACTCAGAACAAAAATCTACGCTTTAAAGTTCAAAAGCTCCAAAGCAGAACCACTGTGTGTTTGCTTTTAGCTAATTATACAGAAACTGCAGGGAAAGACTGAAATCACATGACATTCCAACACCAGCCAGTCTTTTGATCCTTTTAAATGCTCCGCATTTCTCAACTCCCAAGTCTCAAACCTTGTGACTACTTACTATGGACCTGGCAGTTTCAGTTACGGTCAACAAATATATTCTAAAGCTGGTCTGGATACTCTCAGTGCCCGGAGGACAAAGAAAACTCAAAGTGAACTCTTTATTCAGTAACTGATATAACAATCTCCATTGAATGTGTTCATTAGCTTACTACATTCTAGTTTATCAAGATTTGACGGATGTGACTGAACAGCTTTCTTAACCCTTAGACGATTCTTTAAAATCCTCACTCTTCTCGTCTTTGACTCTTTCTAAAGACAAAACAGTGGAGCTTCTCAAAAAGTGCTGTAAAAATATTATATAGTAATATTTGTTCCACTTTAAATGACTCAGTCAACTACTTTGGTCTGAACTTTTAATATCCAATATTAATAATATTTAATGGATTTTAATGATTTGAAGGCCAGTATGTTTATATAGCTCCACTGATTTTTATCAAAAAAACAAAAACAAAAAAAAACCCCAAAGAAGAACAACAATTTCCATGAAATACATTTCAAGGAATATTTGATTATTTTCAATAGGCCCTAAAATGAGACTGATTGGCAGAAACATTGGTGTTCATTATTATTTTTTTTTTGCAGTGTCATAGTCACCTCTCTTTGCAACAAAAACAAGAAACTGTCACACTCAATGCCCTAAGTAGAGATGGACCGATCCGATATTACGTATCGGTATCGGTCCGATACTGACCTAAATTACTGGATCGGATATCGGAGAAAAATAAAAAATGTAATCCGATCCATTAAATATCACGAAAGCACCTCACAAAACTTGCAACACACCGTAACTCACCTCAGAACGTTAGCACGTCGGAGCAGTATGCATCACGTGATAGAGCGGCTGTGGCATGCCGACCTGTCAGTGGTCTGGATAGCATTTGGAGCTTCGCTAGCAACCCGGCATTTCATCTCCGACAAAGTTATCCCAAGAGAAGTAAAGCAAGTGTGTAAGTCCATCTCTGAATGTTTGTAAAGCATTCCTGCGTTAAGCTTAACAAGCGATATATGGAGCGACTGCCTCTTCTTGCTGCTACTTCAATCATGAAACTGCTTAACGATCAGCTGATCGGCTTTTCTGTCGCGAGTCCGTGTCTCTAGTTTGCTTTTGGCCCACTTTGCACCAGAAAGAGGAAACCAGCGGATAAACAACAGCAGCACGTTTAAGCTTGATCAGCTGTTGTTAGAATTTATTTAATATTACTTTCTACTCGAGGATCTTTTTCTACGTAGCTGACGCTGGTAACTGTGCAGGGGCGGATCTAGCAAAGTTTAGCCAGGGGGGCCGATAGGGCATTAACAGGGAAAAGGGGGCACAAAGACATACTTTTCTTTCTTATTCTCATTTAAAATGTCTAGCTTTTAATAAATAATTATCTTACACCCAAAGTTTTAATTTGATGTAAAATGAATAGAAGTCAATTACTGTATATAGTAACTATTAAGTCTAATATATATACCCTAGTAAGCTATAGTACTTTTTCCTTTGGGAAGGTACCATCTGTGCAGTCTGCAATTTTGTTGAAGAAAGATGTTGAATCTATTTAATATTTCTTGAAAAATAATTGATTTCTGTGCATTTTTTTTCACACTGCATCAAATTAAGGTTGATTACGTCGATTAAGCATCATGAGGTGGAGCGTGAGGGGTGGTTCCCTATTTTTTATTTATTTATTTTTGTTGTTGCTGGGAGTTGGAACCCTATTAGTTAGGTTGCTTAATATTTATGCTAAGTACTCTTTAAAATACCAGAATAGGGAGGATGGTGTAGGTTTAAGTTTATTAGATTGATCAGTATTGCTGTACTATGAAATTTTTTTTTTGCATACAGGTATAACAGAATAGCTTTAGTGTAGTTGTTGTTTTAAACTTGAGTATGAACTTATACAAAATGCAGCAAGATATTTAAAAAACAGTTTTGTTTATTAAAAAACACTATATCGGATTCATATCGGTATCGGCAGTTATCCAAATTTATGATATCGGTATCGGACATAAAAAAGTGGTATCGTGCCATCTCTAGCCCTAAGGACAAAAAAGTGGCAGCTTTGCAAAAACTCCTGCAAAAATATTATAAAGTAATATTTTTTTCCACTTTAAATGATGGAATCTTTCAAAAATACTTCATCCTGAAATATAAATATTAATCACGTTTTTTTATTTTAACCCCTCAAGAAGAGGGACTCCAGCTGAGGTGGAGCAGAAGCTGTAAATGGACAGACTGATCTTTGCATGTAAGCTTCCCACGTTGTGCTGCCAGCTGTTCTCTTCCTGTCCATGGAAAAGTCACACCGCCCTTACATTTGCTGATGAGAGGGGCTTGCAGCAGTACCCTGCAGATTTAAACTGATTAATTTTTTTGACCTGTAAACAGCATCCAAAAATGAGCATCTCTATATACGCCTGCAGTTCCTCTGTGTCTACATAAGCCACTGAGTGATTCATATGCAGGTTTGTCATGGCCACAATTTGCTTCAACCAGCAGCAGTGCATGGTCATGTCATGGTGTGTATGTCCTGGGATCAAACCTCTGGTTGCTACTCATGATTTACTGTTATTGAATTCGTTTATAATTGAGAGTGTTGGTCCACTTAACCTGAGTGCAAAATTGCAGTGTTGGACTGTAATGCTACGTGGACGAATGTGCTAATGGCTGTGAATAGACAGAAATATTGTCACAGATGGCTGGTGTAGAGACTACATGGAGCACTCTGCTGTGCGAGTGCTGTGTAGGACTGACCTGGTGCTGAGGCAGAAGCCTCGGTGGCTGGGGATGAGCCAAACCATCGGGAGATGAAGCTGCGTTTCTGTGGGCCCGACGCTCCTGCAGCTGGTGACTGAAGGTGTTCGGGTGACTGGGCCAATGATTTTACCTCAGCAGCAGGTGAAGCTGCCCCGCCAGCTGCTGCTGCTGTGGGAGGCGGAGGAGAGGTTGTGGACACAGATGGTGACTGTGGGAGTGGCTGGGAAGGGATTGGTGGCTGTGGAGTGCTGGGACTGGAGCTGCCGGTGGAGGCCCCACTGGGAGGGACAATGGGGGACTGAGAGCCTGATGAGGGACTCTGACCGTTGGCTGGACCAGGGGAACCATAGCCCTTACTGCGAGACTCCAAGTTCTCCAGGAAACTGCAGATATCACAACAGGACTTTTAAGAGACTTTGAATAACATCTGAGGCCATCAATACAGTTTAGAAACTAGAGTAAGGAAAAACTCAGTAGAAGGAAATGTACACAGATGTGTAGTTCATTTTACAAATCTGTTAAATTCAACTGCTAGAAGATGGAGGTAGTAGTGTGCACCCAGCTCACTAGTTTAAGCCCAGCAGTGGACATGAGAGCACCTAATGCATAAAAAGTGAGGACACATATTTTACATAGAGTGGGGGAGAATTTTGGGAAATAAAGCTTTTGATCTAGTCCCTCTAGTGGCTCAGTAACAGCAGTGCACAGGCTGTCAGAGAGAATAAAGATGAGCATACATCTCATAGTTCTGATCTTCAGTCTCCTGCTGGACACAGAGCTCCTCCAGTGTCGCATCCATGTCCAACTGGTTGGTCTCCAGCTGCCTCAGGAGGGTCTCCCTCTGCACACAAACACATGGCATGATTACCTGGGCACGTGCTGAGATGAAATAGGTGTGCTTTGTCTTCCATTACAATAAATAAATCATAATAAAAAATTATAGCGTTTGAAAACCTGATATTATAAATAAAAATAAATCAAATATTCAGCACATAAAACAAAACAATAACCTGCAGCTGTAGGAATGGGATGTTGAAAAACTTGTGCAGATATTTCAAGCCAAAGCCATTCTTCATAGAGGACTCGGCATAGTGGATGTAAGATGATCCCATAGGTCTGTAAAAGGAAAGCATTAGTAGTAAACTCAAGTTTCTGAATATATACCCTATATTTACATGCCTCATTGATGTCCAAGTGTTATTTAATAAAAAAAACAAACAAACAAAAAAAAAAACGGAAAGAGGTGTAGCTGCATTTACCACCTCAAGGGCACAAAAACATCAGACACATCATCAGCTTGTTAAGTTGTTAAACTGACAGTGGATAACACCTTCCCTTTGACACTAGACAGCTTTCAGTGGTAAAATATCCATTTGTATTATACTGGTTAGTTACCAACCAGCCAAATAAATATAAGTCACGTTCCCCAGGGTAGCTGTGGCTACAACCGTAGCTTGCCTCCACCAGTGTTTGTGAATGCGAGAGTGAATGAATAGTGGCATTGTAAAGCGCTTTGGGTGCCTTGAAAAGCGCTATATAAATCCAATCCATCATCATCATCACTTTTGAACACTATTATGCGAGTTATCTTCTATCCACGGTCTACTGTTCAGCGTAGTTTCTACCGCTGTTTTCACTGCAGAGTCTATATAAAAATTGTAGGTAACAATCTTCAAGTCCCTCATTGGTTAGTGATATTCTGTTTTAACGCTACAAGTTTAGCGTTTTTGTTGTGACCATCTCAGCTTTTTGAAACTAATGCCACATTGATGTGCTCAATGGATAACAAACTGTAAATGAAAACATTTTGTATTATGAGCACATACAGTTTTATCCTCCCTTTTGACTTTGGCGAACCATCATTTACAAAACAATCATATTGTATTTATTAAGAATAAAATCTAGGAAGGAAAGTTTCCTGAAGTCAAAGATCAAGGGAGCTGAAAATTGTTTTTCCAGAGACTTTTATAGAATCAGACATCTTTTCTGTTAGAGAGAATTCAGGTTTAAGGCACTTCCACACTGGCAGGTAGCAGGAGTTTCGGTTTAAAATCCCCAGGAAGTACCATGTTTTCACAGATTATTTTACTTGCAGCATGTTTTGTGCAAATATGTTTTAAATGTGCAAGATGCTAAGCTGTACCTTACGTCTCTGATTGGAGTGGTGGCACTCATAGGGATCATTTTGTGGGGAAGAAGAGTCGGATGACCCACAAAATTACCATTTTTACACAACTGTGCATTGAGCCTGAAGCAGACAGCCCACTAGAGAAAGTTGATGGCCACTGTTGTGATACCTGTTATCTACTACTGGGGTTTTAAGTTTTGCAGAGCCAGTCCCTCTGGTGAGGTGTAAGCTCAAATCTGGGTAAGAAAACAAAATTAACAAAAAAAAAAAAAAGCTTCTTCCTGTTTTGGTTGTGTCACTGAGCCCTCAGTTCCCTGGATGTCTGGTTTGTGGCTGCAGACACAGACACAGTGAAAGAACACTAATCTAGTTGTTGATTATGTAAATTTTTTTAAAGTTAAAACCAAAAATTAAAGTCCTTAGAATTATATTGTTCCCGGTTCTGTTTTCTTCCAACACTTCCTGTTTATTCCTGGTACTGTTTCCTGTATTTTTGCTATCTGTGACTGAACACAGTGATATATGGTGCAGTATTCTGAGTCCCTATAAGCAGGTCCTGCAACTTGGCACCATCCTGGTAATTTGCTCATGCAGTTGTTGTGGAAAAACAAAACAGTCCCTGTATAAATACAGAGGTACACGGACAAACGTTGGTGAACTTTTGGCTTAAAAATAAGATTTTAAAACTTTTTTACTTCTATGTGTGTGCAAGGTTTGATGACATTATGGCTTTATTAAAAGCTCAGAGTGTAGACACAAAAAAGGTCTGTGTAGCTTATCCCAGAGTATTGAGCAAATGCGATGCTCATTGAAATGTTCAAATTTGAAAACATTTTCCACAGCTATATCAGGTAACAAGATTTACTTTTTACAGAGAAAACAACTTTTATTATTATCACACTTTTTATTTCAACTGTATACATTCAATTATTATCTATATCTACCTGTTCAATCCAGCAATTAGGTCCCTTATATCATCAGGGAGGATGACACGATGCTCGCCCATGTCCCTGTAGTTTCCCAACACACACACCGGCACATGGGTGGGTACTTTGGGCAGCTCCCTCAGGATGTAATTAAAAGTCCTGCAATTGATAGGATCACAACATTTATCTGGGAGTATCAATATTCACTGGAAACTGACTATTCTTCAAATATCGCTTCCCCAACTCTGCTTACAAATGACGGTACACAGTTTTCTAAAATACTTGTGCTTTCCTGTTTTTATGACTGGTAACCCTGAAGTTCAGTATTTGGCTTTAAAATGTAGAGAATTAAGCAGGGACTCAAAACAGTAATGTATAAATGTTTTAAAACATAGACACATTTTTTGATTTTTGTGTAATTTAATGACAGCCAGAAAATAATGACCTACCCACAGAGGTGTCTGTGAAAATTATACACCTGCAAGGGCATATTTTCTGTTCAATTTTATTTTATTTATACAGTGGCAAACCACAACAACAGTTGCCTCAAGGCGCTTAGTAGTGTAAGGTACACCCTGCAATAATACATAAAGAGAAAAACCCATCAATCAAATGATCCCCTATGAGCAAGCACTTTGGTGACAGTGGGAAGGAAAAACTCCCTCTTAACAGGAAGAAACCTCCGGCAGAACCAGACTCAGGGAGGAGCGGCCATCTGCTGCAACCGCTTGGGGAGTCACACCATGACAGGAACACTAATATGGATCCTAGACAGCTAGCTAGTCTTGCCCAACCAAGACTGGCTTTACAGTCAGAAAGTTAGTCTGAGCCTAAGCCTCTTCCAGAGGACCCTTTGTCCCCAACGGCCACCTTCACCTAAAACAGTTTACTTATTTCCTTTACATCTGAATTTGAATTATATTTGAAATGTGAGTAAATCCCCTTGTTAAAGATGATTAAATGCATGATGAAAAACAGTATTTAATAATGGAGATTAGACTACAGCATTAACCAAAGTAAACGTGATTATAATTTTTGCTACACTTAAGCATACCTATCATTTACTGTGCTTAGTCACTGTAGCACCTAGAACAACAGTGAGGCTCACTCATGTGTTTTTAATTGTGGCTGAATAACAAAAGAGCTCTACAGCACAGAGACATAAGATACACCAGATCCTACTTTACATGAAACCCCACTGAAAAACCTACAGTTATATCATTTGCCATGCTAATATATACATAAAAAAAAAATTCTCCCTTGGGATGCCCAAAATAGCAATAGTGGAATGTATTTTAAGGATTGTGCATCTAGAGCTGAACACAATCCAGCAGTGGAAGCTTCATAGCCACAGACAGACACAATGAAACTTTATCTGCTCATGCATATTAAAGAAATAGACTTGCCTGATGAGACAACAACACACACAAAGCTCTCTTACCACTGCTTGGTGATGTCAAACATCATGATCACTCCATTGCAGTTCTTGTACACATCCAGGAATTCTGCATCCAGGGCCACCTCATCTGACTATAACACAAACAAATTAATATTTAAGAACAATTGGAGGAAAATATTCTGCTGAGATCATATGCTTCTTTTCCTTTTTTCCCCCTTTACAATTTCCTCCTTATAAGACATCTTTCTCTGATTAAAATCTGCAACCCACATACTAGAAGTGAGCCTTTCTTCCAAAACACATGACAGCCATGTGATAGTCACCTCTTGGGGCTCATTCTCCAGTTTCAAATTGTCACCGCGCCTTTTTCCTTTGCCTGAAAGAACAATTGGTCACAAATGGTAAGATCAGACAAGCTGACACACAGTGAAATCCTGATCTACAGTTTGGTTTTTGCTTTAAGTTAGTATAAAGGTATAGAGCAAGCAGAGCAGCAGCACAACTGCTTTTCTAACAGAAAAGCATCTCGCAGCCTACTTTGACCACACAGTGCCCTTTAAATACACGCTGCAGATGCTCACGCTCCAACTGGGTGCAGCAGTAGCAAAAAACAAAAAACAAATAAACAAAACAATAAAAAGGAAAGAAAACCCTCAAACAAAACAGCCAAACTCTGAGACATAGCTAGGCAGCAACCCTGAGCCATACTCTGACAATATTGACATTCAGATAAGAGTGGGGATAGGCAGGGCAAACCCACAGCACACAAGAGTTTAGTATCTACATACTGTAGCAGCGCTCACCTACACCTTCAGGAAGAGGATATTTTTGGCCTGAGATGAGTGTAAGAGAGGTGCCCAAAAAAAAAAGACAACATCAACACTGAGGACAGAACAGACAAGCAACAAGCATCTCTATTGGATGTGTTGATATAATGCAAGAGGTCAGCCTCAGAGGAAATTTGACTGGCATGTGTGTCAACACTCACCTTTGTCCACCACGTCCCACACCTCTACCTTCACCACATCATCAGTAGCTGAGGCAAGCACAGAGGACACATTCATTATTCATGTTCTGAGACTACAGAAAGAAGAGTTCAAATCTATTGACTGTTAAATGACTAATGTGGATCTACTCGCGCTAAGTAGTGTAGTGTTTTCTCACTAGTATGGAAGCACTGACACAAATACAGGACGTCTCCTCTAACAATCAGTTAGCTCAAACTACAGCTAAACTTTTTCTTTTTACCTTGATATGGTGCCACTGGAATAAATTATGAGGCACAAACAGCAGATGTCAAACCAAAACAGAAACATAACTAAAGCAGTGGTGACAAGCAGGGCTGGGTGACATGAACCAAAAGAATCCTCTCAGTATTTAAAAGCTCCTTTTGGCTGATTCACTAATATGTATGCATGTATGTATGTATGTATGTATGTATGTATGTATGTTTAACAAAAACAACATGTGATGTGTCACAGACACTTTTATTAAAGCAGACATCTAATTTTATTGGTCCTAATTAAAGGTAGTTGGGCTGTCAGTCAGGACAGGAAGTGAATTGCAAAGGAAGTGAATTGCAGTTAGTTCCATATTAAGTCAGTTTTGTGTAGTTCAGTGTACTTGAAGAGGGTGGAAGTAATGTAAATTTCATCATCAGACAGTAAGCACGAGGCTTTGTGCAGATGTTCACGTGCACACCAGTTTTTTTGTGAACATGCACTCATTTACAGAACTGTACTATAGAGTAGCAACTATCCAACCTTCAAGCAGGCTTCGACCAAACTAGGAAAAAAGTCTGTGTGTACATGAACAACACAGTCTACTTCACCTAAAGGTGCAGTGGCAGAATAAGTGTATAAGTTGGTAACGCAACATTGGACTACATTGATATAAATTAAATGGCTAATTCTAAAACACTGTAATGATATATAGATCTATATATATATCTATATATATATATATATTATATATATATATATATATATATATATCACCCAGCCCTGGTGAGATGATCACATGTGGTCACAGCTATCTTGGCTTACTTTTGTAATTCCAATGGATGCTTGTAGCTTGGATCTCCTGAGTGGGTATATACTCCTCCACAAACTTCTTGCCCTGCAGTCGATGCCATAAAGTACTCTTTCCAGTGTTCCTGTCTCCACGAATCACTATTTTCACTGGAGTAGGAGACATGATGGAGATGCCATAAAACTGAACAAACTAAGACAGAACATGTATTTAGCTGGCTGGATTACTTACTGTTATACTGGACCCCTTTGGCAAAGCGTCTCTGCAAGCTCTGGTTCATGGACTGCAGACCAGCAGGAATGTTCTTCTCCTTGAGCTGGCCAGGCTCAGAGCCCACCAGCTTCTTCAGCGCTGAGAACATCTTGACTGAGCTTCACCAGCTTCACTCTGCAGTAGAGAGGAACTCTGGCTGATGACTCCTTAATGACAACACAAGTAAAAGTGTAGCAGCGTATCTTCACGAGCAAGGAAGTTAAGGATCTATGCTGAGATGCAAATATGATGCCAAATCACTTCGTACCAACTTCAGTGGTTTACTGAATTTAGCGGTGCCTCTTTTAAAGTTGACCAGATGTTTTTCTTTGCCTGTCACAAGTAGAATTTACTACCATGTTGTTTTGAGCATCATCTAAGGGGAAAAAAAACAAAGAAAAACACAGAGACAGAGGTTGGGGATTAAAGACTCTTGTTTAGATGAAATTCTTCTGTTAACATGTAGGTGTGATGAAAAGGACAGGCTTGATATTTTTTGCAAAAAATGAAAATTATATCAAACTATGCTCAAGTGTTAGAACATGAGAAAAACCACAAATCCACTAGTTCCAGCTTCTTGTGCGAGTTTGTCACTCTTATGTGGAAATAAAATAAATGAATGCGAATTGTAAGTTATTCAACTTAAAAAAAATTAAGATATGCTTTATTTATTCAAAAAGTTGGAAAAACTGCTGTGTACAGCTGGAAACTAATTCTCAGTAAAATAAACACAATATAACAAGAAAACAACAACAGCACAGCAAGTATGAACGCCATTAGACCACGACAGTCAAAAGACAGTTTATGTGGAAGTGCATTAAAGGTACAGTATGGAAAATCTCACTGACATGACATCAGCAGATTGTATTCAACTAAAATATGTTTTCTTACCTGCCCCAATTCAAATTTGTCCTACATGGGCCACTGTAGTTGGGACTAGAGCAGGGTGATATGACCAAAAATATTTATCACGATATACATTTGAAAATTTGTGATAACGATATAACTGACGATATAATCGACACTAGACAAAATACTTTACAGCTCCACAACTTTATTCGTGCAAAAAAAAAAAAATCAATGCATTTTCACTTAAACAAGCAGCTGTTTTTTTTTAATCTGCATTAAAGTTACATAAAAATTTAACAGTGCAAATGCAAAATCCTTGCTGACCGTTTAACCAAAAGGCATTTCCAGTGGAAATTGGCCGACATATCCTCAGCATAACCATGTATAATATCCACAAAACTTAAAAAGAGGTTATACACATAATACAGTAATATTATGTTGAAGCACAGTACGTAGCACTCCGCGAGGCTCCTACCTACGATAGCCGTAATGCTCCAACAATCCATCAAGCGGTGCGGGTTCCTAGCTTAGCAAAGTCGTACTAAAACATTTGAAAGATTTTCCAGTGCCGTGTACGACATAAAATCGTTTCGAGGTCAGTAAACACAACCAGAATTCAACATAAGGCACAAGGGATTATAAGGGGCACTGTTGATTTTCAGAAAAATCAAAGGATTGATTTTAAGTGTGCCGTATTTTCCAAAAAACACGGTAATAACGACGGCCCGCTAGCATGCTCTACCAAAAATAATGCTTTGTTGTGTATCTGACGGACGAAAGCTAAACCAGTGCCACACCACTGAAGTTGTAGCATATTTACAAACCAATTCTGGTTCATCCGTTTCATTTAACAATCAGCTTTTGCCCTTCTCATTCTCTGTCGCCGCCATGCTTTTTCCGCCATGTGCGTATGAAAACAAAAGCACTGCACATGCGTGTTTTACCCATATTCTATCGCGATATTTCATTTTCTTATCGTTGCCCGACATTATACCGGTATTACCGTGAACGGTATGATATGACCCAGCCCTAGCTGAGACAGATATGTTTTAGTCAGCCGAGAAAGTAAAAGGAGACCGACACAAGTCTATGAGTAAGTAAGCTGCTTAGCCAGAATTAGTGAAACTTTCTTTGAAGCGGATCTAACAGTGTTGGCCTTGAACACTTATCGAACAACCTCTCATACGATGTGAGAATGTAATCAAACTTTTTATCAGAAGAAAGAGTAATTTTTCCGTCATTCAAGCCTGGGATAAAGTTGGCTTATAACCAGCTTTGTGTTAGAGAAATTAAAAGAGCTAAATGCAACCTATATAAATAAAATGTACTTAAAAGACATAATTAAACATTAATAAATGTATATTTGTGGATGCAATACTCTTTTTTTTTTTCCTGCTAAATAACCTCAACAAATGACTGACTGACTACTTTTAAGGCTGCTTTCCAGAGCAAGAAGTCTGGAGTTTGACTCCTCCATCTGTTGTGGGGGTTCTCTCCGGGTACTCCGGCTTCCTTCCACAGTCCAAACGCATGCAGTTAGATGAGTAAGGTTCACTGGCAATGCTAAATTGCCCATAGTTGTCAATGTGAGTGCAAATGATTGTCTGTCTCAATATGTTAGCCCTGCGACAGACTGGCAACCTGTCCCAGGCGTACCCTGCCTCTCACCCTATGGTAACGGGGATAGGCTCCAGCATCCGTGCAACCCTGATAAGGATAAGTAAGTAAGTAAGTAAGTAAACTTTATTTATTAAGCGCTTTTCACAGACAGGCAATCACAAAGCGCTGTACAGAAATATTAAAATATTAAAATAAACAATAAAATCAATAGACATTATATACAATGTAAAAGATCAAATGTAAATAATGTAAAAAAAATAAATAAATATATATATAAAATATGTAGATCAACAAAAGGCTTGTTTGAACAGAAGAGTTTTTAACTGTTTTTTTAAAAGAATCCACAGAGTCAAGCAAACGTAATTGTAGTGGTAAACTGTTCCACAGCCTTGGTGCAACAGACTGAAAGGCTCTGTCCCCTTTTGGGGACCGGAAGAGAATGGATGAATGATGTTATCTATCATTATCTACATTTATACTGCCCAATAAATTAAAAATTAAAAAACAAAGAAACAGGAGGAAAAACCTTTTACCACGTTTTGACAACTTCACTGTTGCGCACACGCTTGGAACACCACAAACACAACAATCGGATGATCCAAGCATTGTTAGCTAGAGAGTTAACGAGATAAAAGTAGTTCTAAAACAACTGTCCGTCCATAGAAACTTCTAAATATAGTTTTAGATTGCACTTTCACTTTGATCCATCCCTCTCCTGCCAGTTTCAAAACGCCAGGAAGACAATCACAAAGATACTCATCTGGGGTGATGTCATAGTAGCTTAGTTTATTAAAGCACAGCTTCAATTACAGCTGAAGATGACGGGGTAGAAAGCATAAGGATTTTGCACTTGACTAAATATTCATTACTGTCAATCATCCCTGCCACAGAGACAGGACTGGTCAGAACTTAACAGTAAATCACAATCTATACTTTACCCCACATTAGAAGGTTAAGCTCACTCACTCTCTCTCTCCCTCTCTCTCTCACACACAGTCCAAATTTTACTGTTAAATCATTTGATAAACGGCTGGCTTTGACGGGTCGGGGGAGGTAATCTCGACTATGTTACCAAAATGGTAATGGGAGAACATGAGAGGCACAAGCTGAAGCAAGACATAATGACGACGTTGTCAGATGATTCTTCGCAGTAGGTTTAATGACAATGAATTAGAAACTGTCTCTAAAACAATATTTGACCAGCTGAAAAACAGAAAGCTTCAGAACACGTCTCCGTGTCCTGATGGGAGCTGTCACAGTGTCCCTACAAGAAATACATTATTCGCTATCAAGATCAGCTTTGTCTTCAGTTGACATTATTAGTACAAGCTCCGTGTCTGTTTGTATTAAAAAGTTAATAAAAAAAGTATTAACTAGCTCAAATCCAAAGAGCCGAGCAATTATCTACCAATGGCTGCGAATTAATTCTGTTTTCAGGTTGAATTTCCCTTTCACCGTTATCCTGCTAGCATTAGCTGACTGTGCTGCTCGCTCAGCTAGAACAGTGAGCTTTGCTTAATATATCAAGCAATGTGTTTAAGCATTCTTAAATCAGAAAATTCGAAAGAGTATGTAAAGGTCAATTCGGATTTCAAAAAGAGATGAGGCAGCCCGGCTTGTTACCTAACGTTACACCAGCTAAAGGGTAACGTTATCCTTTGGCTTCTCTTTAGCTAGCAATCCAGGCAATATTAGCTTAGCTTTGCCACTTCTGCGCTCAGTGACACTACACGGCAGCACGTCAGGATGAGTTTTTCAGGTTAACGTCAGCTGCAAATACTCACGGGTATATATTAAGATAGGAGCGTGCAGTCCCAGCATCTTTTCCTCAAAACATCTGTCAGACCTCCATCCCGACAGAGATCTAGCAGCGACATTCCTTTGCAAAGAAAACAGCTACCGCCGACCAATCATCAAGTAGCACACAAAACTTGTGAATATCCGGTTTCAAAATAAAGCTCAAGCTTAGCGATACCGAAACATTATTTAAGCTTATGCTCCAAGTAGCTTACTCATGGATATTCTTACTTAAATTTCAATAGGTCTGAGTAGGTTTCCAACAATACAGAAGAAGTTGTGCCTCGAATTTTTTTCTGCATATTTATTTGTTTGTGTTTGCAGATTGCCACATATTGTGAAACCAATACAATCTGGATTGTATTGGGCTGCCTCTGAATGTGAAATCTCCTGCTTACTGACTGACAACTTGTGACTCATAAATTATTATCCAGTGAACACAGGGATGATTCTCGTTTTTTCCTTGAACTCCAATAATGAGTAATCAATTTGGGCTCATGTTTTATTCAGCATTACCTGAAACTAGTGACTAAGCCCATAAAGTCATCAGTAAAGTGTTTACTGACATCACAGATGGTTATTTTCCCATAGACTTCTATAGAACTAAAAGTCTTACTGCAACCAAAGGAGTTGCCCCCTACTTACCATGAAATAGAATGCAGCTTTAATCTTTTATACTGTTTATGTCAGGTAACTGTAACTACTAAAATCCACGTGTTTGGTGTTGGTCATTTATGAGCTAATAAATCAATTTACAGATACTAATACTAATACTAATATACTAATTTACCAGAAAGCGAGTTTGGTTGAAATACAATTACGATAACCAAACTAAAGAATATTTTATGAATTTAGTTATTTTATGAAGTCTGGGCAATAGTTCACTTGAATTGTGTATACTAATGAGAATTAACACATAATACCTGGTAAGTCTCATGATTTTGCTATTTTCCACGTGGATGTGCACAGTTTCAGACAGCTTTAGGGTAGAACAAGATCCATTTTCTTTACTTTCTCACATTACAACCGACTGCCGATTTTCGCTTTTATTTTCAAGACGTAACTATAGTACTTCCGAGATTAAGTGCAGTTAGCTTGCCGCGGCTGTCGTGGTGGTCGAATCTAGACCGTCCAATTTATCCCAGCCAGCTTCCTGATGACACAGATGCTCTTCTTTTGGACTTGCGGCACCTAGCGGCAGACGTAGCAACTTACAGTAAAGCGCAGCATCCTCAGCTGTCACTTTTATCACATGAAAACGCCTGGACGTGTTTGTCAATGCAGATGAGGAGTTAGATGTCGTCATTTGTTCATAAACAAAGCAGGTATACACGCTTTAATAAATTGCTAAAGAGCAATGAGTCGTTGCTTGCGGGTATTTTTACAGTCATATTCAGCTGTGTTTGCTATCTTGAACACACCCCGCTGAGTACCCCGATATTGTTCAAGGGGAATAATGGCTGCACAGGAGCCGTCTCCACCATCTTCCCTGGAAGGTAACAAACCGGGCTTCCCAAAGAAAATTTTGGCTAACAACCTGGAGGATAAGCATTTGTGCAACTCGTGTCAGAAAATCCTGAGAAGGCCCCTGCAAGCCCAATGCGGTCACCGCTTTTGTTCGTTCTGTTTCAACAAAATTGTGAGGTGAGTAGTCCTGGATGCTAGTGAGCTAGCTAGATATATGTAGCCCAAAATAAGCATTCAGATCCCGTCACCAGCCTTCGTTCAAATATCTATCCATGTAACATTTATTGACACGTGTAACGCTGTATGCCTGCACAAAGAGAGTTGAATTACAAACAAAATACAGCTAAACTGAACCTACAGGTGATAAATGAATAGCGTCCTTATCTAAATAATATCTCAACTTGTCTATGTGCGATAGACTGGCTAGGTGTCCTCGTAGTCTCGTCCTGCTAACCTCTGCTGGGGTCGGCAGGACACAGGAGCCAGCCAGGGGTGTGCATTTCGAGAAGTTGAACCTGACAGCGCTTTATTGTACTGTCAGGTCGGTATTGTGCCGAATTCACTAGAAGGTCTGGCACCTCTCAGTGTCTTTAAAATGTATTATCTCCCTGCGTCTGTTGTCTAGTAAGTGTGCCAAAATAAAGTTGCCAGTTTTTTCAAGGTAAAATTCGGGTGACCTAACGACTCAGGCTTCAAGAAGGACCAGCTGTTCATAGATTTATATATGTTTAGTATTTCTTACTAGTATTGTTTTATATGTTTTATATTTTCAAATGCAGTAATAAGGAGTGCATTTTTAAATGTATATATTTCTGGATTTATAGTGGTACAGAAACAAAAACACAGGGTTAAAGCACCGCGAGTGGACCTTTGTAGTGACTCACCTGTTTTCTTCTCTCACACTGCGCAGGTGTGTGATGACACAGAGCAATTTCAGTTTCACTTATGTTTTAGATGACTTGTTTCTCAAGAATGAATCAGTTATTTAACTTCACAGATCCTAAGGTGTTAGACATCCATCTGTGCCCTACACTCACTTCTGACTTTTACTAATTATTGTGTGTAATCTAATCTAAGATATAATGAGTGTGCTCATTTTATTTACCTAGAGGGGGAGGTGGGACAACACCCCCCCACACACACCCTAACTTTTTCACAAATGCTTGTCTTTCTTTGCATTTGTAGGTGTAAAAAAAAAAAAAAAATAAAACTGGATTAATATACCTATGAAAGAAATTCAACACAAATCATGTTTGTGTGAGTGATTAAAGAGAAAATAGTCTTCTGAAAGTAAGAAGGCATCTATTCTGCTTATTTTCGAGCTCAATATTTTACTAATGTAGCTTTCCGGTATTTTAAATGGATCCTTATTTGTGTTACTCCTGGGCCTTAATCCAGCCCCTCAATTCATCTGTAAAGCAATGTGTTGCATCTCCTCTCCATTTAAAACCACGTTTCTTCCTATTGGCTGCCCCTTCCAAACACAGAGTGGTTGTTTCCAATGCTGTGTACCTCACCACACCTCACCTCCTGACATTATACAGAGCCAACAAAAAAGGTGTAACACAGGTGCTTTTCTTTTCGATTTACACATATTCTTATGGTACTATTTGATCATTTCACCATGTTTAACCATTGTAAGAGTAAAATATACAATGTGCAGTACTAGACTGACTTGAAATAAACTGTCTGTGTAATAAATGCATGTCTGGATAGAAAAACACAATGGAAGACTATCATTGACTAGCCTCCCCAAAGCTTGGAACTCAGCATTATAGAAACACTCATCTTGACAGGCAGCAAAATGAATGGCAGCCAACATCCAAAGAAGAGCTTTAGAAAGCCCTTAAAGAAGCCTGGAGAACTAGTCCTGAAGGCTAGTTTAAAAAAACTACAAGAAAGATTCCCTAAGAGATTTTAGGCTGTTTTCAATAAAAGTTTACAATTGGGTTTGACCAAATATTAGAGAATTCAGAATAGGTGCCTTTTAAAGTATCACATTTCTGTATTTTTCCCCTTTATAAATGACCTTGAAATTTTCAATTATGTTATTTTCAGATAAATATAGTGCTCTAATCTGAAAAATGTAGGCCTTATTGGATTTTCACCCTCTTCCAGCTCTTAGTTGTTTTTCAACCTATAGTTGTTGTATTGTGCCATCATACTTGAAGACCACGGCATGTATTTTGAGTGTTCAGACAAAGTTGAGTTAAGGTCATACAGTGGGGCAAAAAAGTATTTAGTCAGCCACCGATTGTGCAAGTTCCCCCACCTAAAATGATGACAGAGGTCAGTAATTTGCACCAGAGGTACACTTCAACTGTGAGAGACAGAATGTGAAAAAAAAAAAATCCATGAATCCACATGGTAGGATTTGTAAAGAATTTATTCGTAAATCAGGGTGGAAAATAAGTATTTGGTCAATAACAAAAATACAACTCAATACTTTGTAACATAACCTTTGTTGGCAATAACAGAGGTCAAACGTTTACTATAGGTCTTTACCAGGTTTGCACACACAGTAGCTGGTATTTTGGCCCATTCCTCCATGCAGATCTTCTCGAGAGCAGTGATGTTTTGGGGCTGTCGCCGAGCAACACTGACTTTCAACTCCCGCCACAGATTTTCTATGGGGTTGAGGTCTGGAGACTGGCTAGGCCACTCCAGGACTTTCAAATGCTTCTTACGGAGCCACTCCTTTGTTGCCCGGGCGGTGTGTTTTAGATCATTGTCATGTTGGAAGACCCAGCCTCGTTTCATCTTCAAAGTTTTCACTGATGGAAAGAGGTTTTGGCTCAAAATCTCACGATACATGGCCCCATTCATTCTGTCCTTAACACGGATCAGTCGTCCTGTCCCCTTGGCAGAAAAACAGCCCCATAGCATGATGTTTCCACCCCCATGCTTCACAGTAGGTATGGTGTTCTTGGGATGCAACTCCGTATTCTTCTTCCTCCAAACACGACGAGTTGAGTTTATACCAAAAAGTTCTACTTTGGTTTCATCTGACCACATGACATTCTCCCAATCCTCTGCTGTATCATCCATGTGCTCTCTGGCAAACTTCAGACGGGCCTGGACATGCACTGGCTTCAGCAGCGGAACACGTCTGGCACTGCGGGATTTGATTCCCTGCCGTTGTAGTGTGTTACTGACGGTGACCTTTGTTACTTTGGTCCCAGCTCTCTGCAGGTCATTCACCAGGTCCCCCCGTGTGGTTCTGGGATCTTTGCTCACCGTTCTCATGATCATTTTGACCCCACGGGATGAGATCTTGCGTGGAGCCCCAGATCGAGGGAGATTATCAGTGGTCTTGTATGTCTTCCATTTTCTGATGATTGCTCCCACAGTTGATTTTTTCACACCAAGCTGCTTGCCTATTGTAGATTCACTCTTCCCAGTCTGGTGCAGGTCTACAATACTTTTCCTGGTGTCCTTCGAAAGCTCTTTGGTCTTGGCCATGGCGGCGTTTGGAGTCTGACTGTTTGAGGCTGTGGACAGGTGTCTTTTATACAGATGATGAGTTCAAACAGGTGCCATTCATACAGGTAACGAGTGGGGGACAGAAAAGCTTCTTACAGAAGACGTTACAGGTCTGTGAGAGCCAGAGATTTTCCTTGTTTGAGGTGACCAAATACTTATTTTCCACCCTGATTTACGAATAAATTCTTTACAAATCCTACCATGTGGATTCATGGATTTTTTTTTTTCACATTCTGTCTCTCACAGTTGAAGTGTACCTCTGGTGCAAATTACTGACCTCTGTCATCATTTTAAGTGGGGGAACTTGCACAATCGGTGGCTGACTAAATACTTTTTTGCCCCACTGTATGTTATACTTACTGAGGCATTGTATGCCAAATGTTCAATGGTAGTTTGACATTGCCACAGTGTAGGGCTGGGCGATATGACCCAAAATTCATATCTCGATATTTTTTAGCTGGATGGCGATATAAGATATATATCTCGATTGTTTGTTTTTTTTAAAGCCATAAGTTAAGAACAAAAAGAGAGTTCTTAGTCACACTGTGTCCCAGATGTCACACGGGCACTTTTATTTACATACAGCGTAGATGTACATGAAGAAATTACTCAAAAATAAATTATCAGCATTTATTAAATAATCATGGTCCATAAATAAAAGAAAACAATGTTGTTTTTGTGCATAACAAAAAGCTCACAATTGTGCAGTCAAAATGTAAACTAATAGACGCTGAGCATAATAACAAAGAGACAGATTTCACAGCTGCACCACGTCTCTGAACAGGTGCCATTTGTGGTCCTTATACACACAGTATCACTCCGCGAGGCTCCTCCTCGTTAGCCGTAATCCTCCGACAATCCATCAAGTGGTGCAGCTCCGTAGCTTAGCAAAGTCATATTAAAACATTTTTTGACAGATTGCTGAGCGCTGTGTCCCACATAAAATCGGTTCGCGGTCAGTAAGCACAACCAGAATTCATACATAAGGCGCGCTGTCGATTTTTGAGAAAATGAAAGGATTTTAGTCCGTGCAGCCCCTCCTGGCTGCATGTCGTTAGCGTGGTTAGCTCGTTAGCGCGGTTAGCTCGCTAACACGTTGACGCCATCCAGCCCCACGCACGGTAACTCGCTAACGGAGATTTTCCGCTTTCATCTTGTCATTGCCTGCAGGTGAAGCTATGGGGGAGGGGGAGTTGTGTTCAGTGAAGGAGAGGCCAGGCCGAGTAACGTTGCGTAGAGACAAAAGTGGACGAAAGAGAGGCAAACCTGCGGCTCCACAAGTATAATTATAACGTAACATAGACTATATCGATATAAACGATATTGTCACATCTTATATCTCGTATGAAAATATATCGATATTTTTAAAAAACTCGATATATCGCCCAGCCCTACCACAGTGTTTATTATTTATGTGTGTTTTTTTTTTCTCTTTGGAAGTTGTGGACCACAGAAATGCAGTGCATGCATCAAAGAAGACCTGTTTGAGGAACCCACCTCGATCCTTAAGCAAGGTGGTGTAAGTACATTTTATTACAGTTCCACTTTATTAGCATTTTTAGCAGTTTTCTTAATAGAGTTTGGCCTGGTTTGGAATTTTTATAAAGCACTGTAATGTCATGGTCATTGTTTCTGTTCAAATCTAATGGCCTGCAGTTTAGATCCAACACAACAGAAACTTTGTGACTGCTCTATAGGTCTTAGCAGTAACAACAATAGATGGAACAGCTATAGCCATTTTATCCTCTGACCATATGTCCTGAATCTCCCTGAAAAATGAAATTGGTGCATCCTGGCTTAATCTGAACTGAAGATGCAAACCAAACAACACTGACAACAACCTCCTTTTTTTCCCACCCAGGCTTTCCCTGACAATGCAGCCCGCAGAGAAGTGGAGGCCTTGGCAGCTGTCTGTCCCAATGAAGGATGCATATGGACTGGAACTGTCAAAGAATTTGAGGTGATTTCAATCAATCAATCAATCAATCAATCAATCAAAGCTTTATTCGCCACATGCAGGTTGCCCTGCAGTGAAATAGGACCCCCCCGACCTTACACACACAACACAGACATTACATGGGGATACAAGTCGGAGATTGGTAGCGTTACAGAAAAAACACTGAAATGTACACTACAATGGGAAAGTACAAGAGGAAAAAAAGAGACCTCTACTCATGCTGTACTTCCATGGTAGGATAGCATGAGAACAGGAAACAAAAAAACTCCTCTGCACAAAAAGCACCTAATGTCCACAGCACAACATCGTGACAGTCGTTATCAGGGAGTGTTTGTTCGGCTCCGGCCTTGAGCCCACAGCTGGCGTCAAAGGGGTAGCCGCATTATAATGGTGATTTTTCTTTTACAAACAACTCATGAGAATTTCAAGCTGTTTTTAACACTCCGACACCGACACTGGTCTCTCAATCTCCCATTGGATAGCTGCGAGTTTCTTCATGATGTTATTTACCTTCAATTCTGTGGTCTTTTCAGTCTTTTGCTCACAGAGCAGATTCTGAGACCTCACGACCGCAGCCAACTGATCCGCGATGTAATCCAGCTTCCGCCCAGAGGTGTTGTTCCGAGTGGATTCTTCCCTGATGTAATCCAATGTACGCTCAGAGGTACTCAGTGAGCCTTCACTGCAGCCGTTAGCGCCTCCAAGCTCTTAACCATGCTGCATTCAGTGAGTCCTTTCTGAGAAGCCGCACCTCGTCCCATCGTTTCAATCCCAGCGGGCAGCCTTGGGGGGGTTTGAACAGCCGGTTCCGCTTTCTTAATTCTCCAACAAGCCAGGGCCAAGCCAACTCCGATCAGCAAGAACCCTGTTATCATGGTTCCGAATAGGTAGATATCTTCAGCGTCCTCAATCGACAGTCCCGCCAGGCACACGATCCTCCATGTCTGCCACCCGTCCATCGTGTATCCGGCAGGGAAAGTCCCTCCAGGGCCCAGACTTCTCATTGAGAAAAGGGTGTCAATAGCATTTAGAGACCAGTGCTCTTTATATTGGTCAATAAGAGGACAACAGTTCAGCATGTCATCCCCCGGCCCTCAGAGGAAATTTGGGAAGCGACAACATTGAACTAGTGTCCTTTGTTATTGTGGCACAAACAAGAGAGAAGCAGATCCAGCGTAGACTAGGATAACTCCCCTGCCAAAAGATGACAACGCTACAAAACATGAGGTTGGCAGGGTGATAACAAAACAAGAGACACAACATACGAAAGAGACCTTCAGGCCATTTGACAGCTGGCAGAGCAGGGGAAGAGGGAAAACAGCCCATTGTCTGAAACCTGCAGGAATGAAACCATTGTTTTGTGTGTGGAGATCATGGACACTAAGCAGTGGGATGCTTAAAGCATACCAAATTTCAGGGAAACAAGACAGTCTTTTTTAAGCGAAAGCCAGAAGCCTGTCAGCAGGGCCTTCCAGTAAGCATTGAACCCAAGCAGCTAAAATCATATCAGCCGACATCCACATTCTCAATTATACAGTAAGACCACGTCAAGAACTTCTTGATGAAGACCTTGATCTTTATGCAGTTAATGTCCAAAACATCTCCTATGATTGTTGGGTAGAGCTCACCGTCAACTTGGCAGGGAATAACAATCCCAATCTCACCATTCAAGCCCCCTTCTTGGTTAGCCAGCTGTCACTGCCCCAGACTTTACTAGGAGCTGATGTGCTCATCAAGAGACAAGAACTTTAAGGTGATGCTGGGGCTGCATGATTAATTGTTAGAAAATCACGATCTCAATTCATACTTATGTGCGATCTCATTTCCAAATGACGATTTAAAAAAAAAAAAAGGGGAAAAAAAAGAAGACGACTGATAGGTTTGTAGCTTGAACCCATCCGCTGGAACGTTGAAGACAATATAATTACACTGCTAAGCAAGACACAAATAGGCAAAGTTCTTCATGTTACTCGTGCACGGGAGAGACCGGACAGAGTGCCGTTCCTCCACTTGACCCCAGTTGCTCTCGTCCGTTCTCCCGTACCACTGTCCTTTTATTGAGGTTACATGAATGTGCATAGGTTCATTAACATGTGATGTCTACATACACACAAAGAGTACCGTGTGTGTGTGTGTGTGTGTGTGTGTGTGTGTGGGGGGGGGGGGGTACTGCTGATCAAAGGGTCATAAAAGCACACAAGCAAACATCCTTGGTCAGGAAGAGGGTAGACCCCCCCTCATCCTAGATAACACAGTAAGGAAGTCCAGCAGTTCATTTATACACAAAAAGCACTTAGACTAAAACAGACGTAACTACGTTAATCCTACCATAAAACAATAAGAGAAGGTATGACCTCTCTCATGCTCCCAGGATGTAGGTGTGGAATGCACACCAAGCCTCTGTAGCCTGTTAAAGATCACACAACTTATCACTACACAATTGATTATACGCCTCTAAGCATCTATGGTTAAATATTTCTAAGCATAAATGACAATCAACAATACAAAACCTAACAACGACGATTGTACCGCATTTTGATCTGGGACGTAATCTGCATGAAAACAAGCGCTCACTCTTCCTGCTCAACAAATGACAAGGGCGGAGCCTTATACCACGTGATACAGAAGCTGGCTGCTAAAATTGGCAGGGAAAAAACAATGGAGAGCACGTCAGGGATGACGAGAAAGTGACAGGAGAAAATCCGTCCCGGTCAACCACTCAAACATCAATAACGGGAACCTTATACAGCGCTTCCCTATACCCGTCGAACTCCCGCAGGCACAAAGAAATTACGGAGGCTATTACTTATCACCTGACCAAAGATATGGCTCCCATCAACACTGAGCAAAACGAGGGATTTAGAAAAATGATCAACACCCTAGACAAACGCTACACAGTGCCGTCCCGCAACTATTTTTCTATTGTTGCACTACCTGCTCTATACACGCAGTGTCGAGCAACGGTGGAGACGGAATTTCAAGCTGTACAACATTTTGCGGCAACGACAAAATGTCAGACATTTGTTGTTTTTATGTTTATTTATTGTTTTTATGTTCAGTCTCAACTGTTACGAAGTCGATGTGCAGTTAATAAGTGCAATAAATGTTTATACTGGAAAAGAAAATCGTGAGAGAATCGTGATCTCAATTTTAAGCAAAAAAATCGTGATTCTCATTTTATGCAAAATCGTGCAGCCCTACGTGATGCCATTGCCACAGTTGTCAACCTCTTATGCAATGCCTTTGTGATGGGGGGAAGAACAGGTGATGGCCATTGTTTGTTTCACCCAGTTTGGGCAAGTAAATATTGTGACCCAGCTACAGTAAGAGTAGGACAAACAATATTCTCATTCCAACTGGAAGAGTGGTACAGGTGTTGTGCAGAGTACCCCCAAACTTTGACATCTCCGATCCCCTTGTTTTGTAATAACCTACAGAGGAGGACAGTGTCCTAGCACAGCTGAGTTCAGGGAATGGCCTTCTGGAGGTCCAGAACTCCAGTCACCCTTGTGTCAAGGTCCCGATCTCTAACCACTCAAAACAAGAGATCACACTACCAAGGAGAACACTTCTCGGTACAATTCAGCATGTTACCAACCTTATTAAGATGGGCCCACCAGAGACACAAAAGACTGTTTCCACACAAACCAAAACAATCACAGCTCAAAGGCTTGAGGTAAAAGAAGATTTTCAAAAACTGTTGGTAAAAAGATGGATTTTTAAGTCTGATTCACCCTGTTCTGCCCCATTCTTATGTGTGAGGAACAACCGTAGCTCCCTACACCTCTGTTGATTATCGGCTTTTGAATAACAAAACAGTGAGCGACTGACACCCCCTCCCTCGGACTCCACTGACTCATGGTCATGCAGCTAGTTTTTGATATTGGATCAGACCTACCACTAAGGTTTCATAGTAGAACAATTAAGGTGCTTGACAGCTTTCATAACTCCTTGGGTGGACTGTATAAGTGCCTAGGCCGACCCAACCAAAAACAAAGCTGGCAAGGCAGCCACTGTTGTTTTTTTGTTTTTGTTTTTTTCTCTCTCAATGATTACATCCCCAGGTTCAAATATCCCACCAAACATCACCCTCAGGCAGTTATCTGGTATTGGTCACTCAAGAGCCCCAGGGGAAACCTGGCAGAGAGACTAAATTGCACACTGCGTTGTAAATGCTATGGACTCTGGGAGAAAAAGAAAAGGAGAACTGGAAAGACCACCTACCACATATCATTAATGTGTACAACTGTACAAAGCATGAGGCTACAGGGCTCTTCCCCTACTACTTGTTTTATGGCCATCATCTATGTCGCCCCATTGACCTCCTTTTTGGACTCTAAAGATCAGGAGGCTGAAACACCAAGTGGTTATGCCAAGAAGTGGACAGGAATGATTCAGGTATACTGAATAGCAAATGCAAACGGGCAACGAGCTCTTATTGTAAAGGACTTTATGACAAGAGTGCCCTCCATTGTGGGGATATAGTTCTTGTACACAACCTCATTGAAAGAGACCCCTGTTGGTAACAGGACATCTACACTGCAAAAGAACAGATAGGGGACAACCCTGTCTATAGATTATGCCCAGAGAGAGAAGGTGTAGCAGGAGGTACCGCAACCTCCTGCTACAGGTGAATGACCTGCCAATTGAGCCCACACAGTCCTGCTGCAAATAGATTAAAGCCACAGATGAAAATGAGGAAGTCATCAGATCCCTCAAAATCAGCAGAACGGGCACGGAGTTGGGATTCAAGTTACTCTGAAGGAGGGGAAGATGTGTCTTATTACTGGCTGTGAATACCTGTGGAGACCTGTGTGTTCACATACCCACCCATTCATTGGTCAACACGTATATCAGGCTCACCCCGCTGTGGGTTTTGCTGAAATCCACCCATGGTACTGTACTGACCTGTGTTGCTCTCACCCACACTCTCACCATTTCAGGCCCCCGTCAACCCTCACCAGTCACATATCCAATCCTGAACTACTGAGACAGACCTAAGC